TCCGAAAAGTCAATTTATAATAGAATATTTACTTCGATGATTCAGCTAAAGAAAAAAACATTTATTTATTATTATATTCAGAGAATAATATTTAATTTATTATTTATACTTATCTTACTTATGCTTACCCTACATATGCTTCTTTGAATGAGAAATTTAATTTGTTGACTGATTCAGATTCAGATTTGTTAAAATATCTCTTGTGCGCAACTCTTGAACAGGTAGGTAGTAAAATAATTCTCTTTCTTTACGAATTTTATAAACTTTTCACGAACATAAAAATTGAAAGATCCTCAGAGAATAAATAACTTTTCTTGAACATTTAAACCAAAGGAAAATCTTTTCCCATTAATAAAGAATGAATAATTAATATCTCACACAAGAGGAATCTTCATCCTTGAAATCACCGTGCGATTTTGCTTTTAGAAAAGTATAATATTGATGTAATAGTAACAAATGCTATCCAAAAACGGTGCAAATCTTAAACGTTTTTGAGAAATGTAGTTTGAAGTTTAGTCTTTTCTGTTAATGTCGTTATAGCAGAAGAATTACCAATTTGCTTCAGTAGCGCAGTGGATCAGGCTTTGTGATATGAGCGTAGAGGTTGTTCAAGTGTGTTATTTTTACTATCACAGGGAGAACTATGTAGAATGTATAATAATACGCAGACAAATTCTTTACATAATCATACTTATTTCTTTTAGCATGAATAAAAATGATCAATGCTAACGTGATAAATGTATATCGCAATTGTACATGTACGCAATTGTACACATACACACACACGTACACACGTATACCAATGACGTCAAAACCGAACAATTCGTGAAAATTTTTTATTGATCGCAATTGTACGCAAAGACGAAGGAGAAGTACACGGGTCTCCGCGGGTATCTCGTCATATTAATTGTCTTTGAGCTGATAAACAATTGATCTCCGGTAATTACAAGTTACGCTTGTCCGCAGCTTGTTCGGTTTTGATATCATTATCTCTGTGAAGTTGGTCCCACCTTTTCAAAATTTGAAAAAAATGAGCAGAGTTCTGATTGCCTCCCAAAGAGTTCTAGAGTTCTCTATTAATAAAAAAAAGAGTTCCGTTGATTAAAGTGGTCAAAACACGAAATAAAGTTACGGGGGGGGCCAACTTCACAATTGCGTATATTTCAAAAGGTCCTAACTTTTTTACCTTAAACTTTAGCGCTTTGATGCTTAAAGAAAATCGATGGAACTCTTCGGGGGGCTACCAGAACTCTCAACAAATTAAACGATTTCCGAAAAAAATTTTTCTCTTAGAAAATTCTGCATCTGTGATACTTTGATGAGCTAGAATTTTTTCATTTCTGCTCGAAGCGATTCGAGTTGTTACGTCCTGGAGGAGGAACGCAACTTTGACGCTTGCTTTCGCAAGCTCCGACGTACTCGCAAATCTGCGAAACAGATCAAGGATCGGAATGACCGCTTTATCTGGCGCAGACGTACGTCGGTGGTCCTTTATTTAGGTCAAGGAACTGAATCCTTTTACCTGGGATAGGACCGTGAGCGACAGTTGAGGGAAGGGAGAATTTTTGGTTGAAAATAATTATTTGGAAAACGTGATTGGTTTACAATTACAAACAACTTGTTTTATTAGTGATTAGACGGAAGTTCACAATGAAATAAAATTTGTAAGATTTTATAATGTGTCCGTATACATATGTGGTTAACAATCGCGCTCAGAACAATGATTCTCGATTACTCAAAACAATATTCCGTGTTCGTTATGTCCGACTGTGATCGAAAGGATTGGGCCACTGAAGTCGGATTTTATTATTAAGGAGGAATGCCAAGAGGGATAGAAAACGGAAGTAAAACGAAAGGAAAAGAAAAGAGAGAGAAGAAAAGATAAAAAAATGAAACGAAAGAGGTCACTCAGGTAAAAGAAAATATAAGTAACTTACTGCTGGACTTCTCTGATCTTAGTAGACAATAAAAGGTGTGGTTGCTGCGTCTCTATGAGGATAGATGCCTCAAGTTCTGCGCCAAGGATAGGCAGCTGGTTTCGGCAGGATCGCTCTCAATGGCCCAAGAAGGCACAAGATCGTTGCACCGAATAATTAACAAGTGAAGAATACTGGTCGGTCTAAGCCACAAGTTGGCTTGATTGTTAAGAAACCCTGAAGGGGTGCTGGAGAGAAGCGTCCGTCCTGGATGCTGGATCGGCGAGAAGTGAGTGAAGCTTTTGACTTTTCTCAAAAAGTCAGCTCGGTTGAGAGAGTGGAGTTTTGGGGGAAATGTTCCAGAAGATTATTTTATAGGAGATAAGATGCATGTGGCAATAAGAGGATTTCGAAAGTCTTTTGTATTGAAATGAAAAAGTTCTAGCTCATCAAAGTATCATAGATGCAGAATTTTCTAAGAGAAAAATTTTTTTCGGAAATCGGTCAATTTCTTGAGAGTTCTGGTAGCCCCCCGAAGAGTTCTATCGGTTTCCTTATGACTCGAATCGATTCGAGCGGAAATAAAAAAGTTCTAGCTCATCAAAGTATCACAGATGCAGAATTTTCTAAGAGAAAAATTTTTTTCGGAAATCGTTTAATTTGTTGAGAGTTCTGGTAGCCCCCCGAAGAGTTCCATCGATTTTCTTTAAGCATCAAAGCGCTAAAGTTTAAGGTAAAAAAGTTAGGACCTTTTGAAATATACGCAATTGTGAAGTTGGCCCCCCCCGTAACTTTATTTCGTGTTTTGACCACTTTAATCAACGGAACTCTTTTTTTTATTAATAGAGAACTCTAGAACTCTTTGGGAGGCAATCAGAACTCTGCTCATTTTTTTCAAATTTTGAAAAGGTGGGACCAACTTCACAGAGGTAATGATATCAAAACTGAACAAGCTGCGGACAAGCGTAACTTGTAATTACCGGAGATCAATTGTTTATCAGCTCAAAGACAATTAATATGATGAGATACCCGCGGAGACCCGTGTACTTCTCCTTCGTCTTTGCGTACAATTGCGATCAATAACAAATTTTCACGAATTGTTCGGTTTTGACGTCATTGGTATACGTGTGTACGTGTGTGTGTATGTGTACAATTGCGTACACGTACAATTGCGATATACATTTATCACGTTAGCATTGATCATTTTTATTCATGCTAAAAGAAATAAGTATGATTATGTAAAGAATTTGTCTGCGTATTATTATACATTCTACATAGTTCTCCCTGTGATAGTAAAAATAACACACTTGAACAACCTCTACGCTCATATCACAAAGCCTGATCCACTGCGCTACTGAAGCAAATTGGTAATTCTTCTGCTATAACGACATTAACAGAAAAGACTAAACTTCAAACTACATTTCTCAAAAACGTTTAAGATTTGCACCGTTTTTGGATAGCATTTGTTACTATTACATCAATATTATACTTTTCTAAAAGCAAAATCGCACGGTGATTTCAAGGATGAAGATTCCTCTTGTGTGAGATATTAATTATTCATTCTTTATTAATGGGAAAAGATTTTCCTTTGGTTTAAATGTTCAAGAAAAGTTATTTATTCTCTGAGGATCTTTCAATTTTTATGTTCGTGAAAAGTTTATAAAATTCGTAAAGAAAGAGAATTATTTTACTACCTACCTGTTCAAGAGTTGCGCACAAGAGATATTTTAACAAATCTGAATCTGAATCAGTCAACAAATTAAATTTCTCATTCAAAGAAGCATATGTAGGGTAAGCATAAGTAAGATAAGTATAAATAATAAATTAAATATTATTCTCTGAATATAATAATAAATAAATGTTTTTTTCTTTAGCTGAATCATCGAAGTAAATATTCTATTATAAATTGACTTTTCGGATTACAGTATTAATTTGATTTTTCAGAGTACGCTTTCAAATTGACTCTTCGGAATACGCTATTAAATTGACTTTTCGGAGTACACTTTTAAATTGACTCTTCTGACTATAGATTTTTTAGTTGACTCTGTTGAGTACGTATTTTTTAATTAACTCTTCGGAGAGAAGAGAAGAGAAACATTTTATATTTTATTTAAAAAATCGTAATTTTTGCAGAAAACTGATTGATGAAGAAAAAATTAATTCACGACCTCAACGAAGATCTTAAAAAAATTACTGCAAGAAATGAAGTTGTTGTTATTATATACCATATTGTACAATATTAAAACATACGCGCAATAATTATCTATAATTTGCATATATGGGCGTTTATGTAATTATAAGTAATATAAAAGTCATGACAAATTAATGTGGCCGCGTGTTATCTCTGTCGCGTCATTGCTAGAAATCGTCCGAACTCTCGAAATTATTTTCTTCCCGAATTATGAATATAAAACAATGTGGAAAGGAAAACAAGGGGGTTAAAGGAGAGACGGCGACGTCTGCCTTACGATAACATCGCTGCTGGCACGCTTCGTCGCGATTGTCTATTCGCTGGTGGTGAGACAAAGACCGATTCTTCGTTTTTATCTAACTAATCTAGCTCGCTCGTGAACAGCACAGAACAGAACCAAATAATTATGGACATAGCACGGAATAGTACCAACAAATCGTGGACATTGGCTTAGTAGTTCATGTTCATGAAAAATGGACCCAGTTGGCGCTTCGAATCAGACAACTTTTCCATAACGCTGTAAATGCAGCCATGCCCGTTCTCAGGCTTCTCTCTGCTCCCATGTATATTTAGCGTCCAACGTTTGTGGCGCTCTCTGAAATGGGACAATTCTTCGTTGGTACTAAAGTTCAATATGGCATCATGTGTCAATGTGTGTGTATGTATAGCTGCACACATATTAACACGTATGTGTGTGTAATATATATAGGAAATATGAGGAATATTAGTGCGAAGTAAAAATGCTGAAAATAATGTGCATTCTGTGAAATGTATATATTTGACGAAAAAAATTTAAATATGTATACATAAAGAAAATATTAATACTTTAAACATAAATATAAGGACAATAATTTGTTAATAATACTAAATTTTATAATAATATTAAAAGAAATTTGTAATAATATTTGTGTATATTATGGAAAATCCAACGATGTCCTTGTCCCTAAATAGTGTGTAGCTTGCTCCTGTACATTCTGTTCTGTGGCATAGTATGTTGCTGTCTGCAAGAGAAGTAGCAAATAAAGTTTAAATGCTAACAATTAAATAAGCAAGTTGCAGCTGAGAAAGATACTCACCGAAAAGTCCTGGTCATCCTTCCAATGTTCTCTTCTTCCATCTGATGAAGACACAGCTATTACAAAATAGTGTCTTTACCAGATAGAAAATCCTGCGACGTCCCAATTATTGAATAGTGCCCAACTCGTTCTACTGGCGTAGTATGTTGCTGTCTGCAAGAGAAATAGCAAATAAAGTTTAAATGCTAACAATTAAATAAGCAAGTTGCAGCTGAGAAAGATACTCACCGAAAAGTCCTGGTCATCCTTCCAATGTTCTCTTCTTCCATCTGATGAAGACACAGCTATTACAAAATAGTGTCTTTACCAGATAGAAAATCCTGCGACGTCCCAATTATTGAATAGTGCCCAACTCGTTCTACTGGCGTAGTATGTTGCTGTCTGCAAGAGAAATAGCAAATAAAGTTTAAGTGCTAACAATTAAATGAGCAAGTTGCAGCTGAGAAAGATACTCACCGAAAAGTCCTGCTCATCCTTCCAATGTTCTCTTCCATCTGATGAAGACACAGCTATTACAAAATAGCTGTGTCTTTACCAGATGGAAGATCCTGTGATGTCCCAATTCTTGAGTAGTGTCCACTAACTTATCCTGCTGTCATAGTATGTCAGTATTTAAAAAATAAATACTAATGAATAAATGTTGAAAGTGCAATGCTATGAAAAATATATGTTTCTAGTGAGAATGAATTACTTACAAAAAAGTCCTGTTTATTCTTGCAAAATGCTTCTCTCCTTGCTGTAGGCATAATTATCATAATATACATGTCTGAAAAATAATCAGTAACAAAGTTGTAGTGTGTGCATGTAAAACAATTATTAAGTGTACATTATTATAGGATTTTGAAAGATACTTACAGCTATGATTCCATGTATCGTAACATTTTCATTTTTTACTTTTTATTGTTGACTTTTCCTCAAATCTTTTGCACATTCTTCTTGCTTCTTTTAACATATAATTGGATGTCTCTTGTACTTCTGTCCTGCTATTTAAAATGTTATTGATAATTGCACACCATGCTGTGATGAATTCTCCTGTGATGTTTTCATCCAAAACTTGTTGCAAAGTGGGACAACGTGCTCTGCTTATTATTGCTTCTTCTTCATATAATGCTTTTATTAATTTTTCTTTAACTTTATGTTCGTAACAGAAATATAAATTTCATTAGTGCGACTTTTATTTTCTCCATAATTTCTTGCAAAATATTGTCGCTTTTTACATATTCAGCACATTCAGAGCATTCTATTGCTATTTTGTGTGTAGCAAGATTTTTTATAATTTTTTGCGGTTTTACGTATACATCTGTATTTCTTGTTGGTTGTGGGATCGCATATTCAGCATATTCAATATCTTTTGTGCCTTCTTCGTTTGCAGCTAATTCTCCAGCACGAAACATTTTCAGCAAAGCTAGTGACGTGCCTTCTTGGCTTTCCTCACAATTGGAAGACAGTGATTTCTTAGAAATCAAATTAGTACACAACAGCGTTTTAAAAGATGCGCTGAATTATTGTAGCGTAGGGTTGTTATTTCTATGACCCTGGTCTCTAATCTGGCTGAAACAATTTTCCACGATATCTTGATTAATATGTTTCAGGTTCAAGTCGGATAGTCCACTTCTTTGCAATATCGATGGTGCTGTCTTCCCTGTCGAACATTCTGGTACACAACATACTCGTACCATCTTGATCCCGCTGTTATGAGACCTATAAAAAAAATAAACCTGTATTTAGTTAAACAGATATTTGCATCAGTATACAATATTACAGTATCATGCATACTCAAACAAAACAAGTTGTTTGTCGCTAACAGGGAAAAGATTTTCTTGAATAACTGTTTCTTCTTGTTTTTTCTTCTTCTCTTGTTTTTTTCTTGTAGTCCTTCTGCAAGAGAGAGAGAGAGAGAGAGTACATAAATATCTTCATAAATTATATATATATATATATATATAGAGTAGATTTCATGAAGAAATTTTAGCTATCTATGCCTGCATGCAGCTCATATTCAAGAAGCAACCAACTAATATAACATGATTTGACATTACGTTCAAGGATAGTCATAACATATTCTTCTTGTTTTCAGTCATCAATCTGCTGAAATAGCTTGTTCACAAGGTGTATCAAATTTTTTAGCAGCAGATTAACAGCAGAAACTAAGCACAAACTTGATGCAGCCATGCATTGCTAAGAATTTCTACAATCTTTATCTAACTTGCTCTTGTTATATTAGCATATTGCAAAGCTTACTTTTATTTTTTACTTATTAGTCTCTGTTAGTAAAAAGGACAATTATACTAATGCATAATATTTATATATAAATACAATACAATATATAAAAACAAAATTTACACTTTGGTTGTCGTTACTGGCAGTAATACTAAAACTTTTTCCTTCTCGCACCTGCTTCTTCTCGTGCTTCATTCTCGTAACATCTCTTCTTCGTAACACTTTTTTTCTTATTGAAGGCTTTAAAGCGTTAAAGCTTGAAAGCATTAAAGTGCATTAAAGCGAACGCAACTGTAGCAATATGGCGGCCACAAATTAGTTGCGATTTCTCACATGTCCCATCTCAGAGAGCGCTGCTAACGCTAATCATTTTTGCTCCATAAGAGTTTGCACGCCCTGCTGTACATCCACACTGATGCAAACGCATCGTACTACAAAATAAATAGTCCTCGAGTTTCTTATACATTATATATTTCGTCGCGACATGTTCGTGCAACATCACATGACTGCTCTACTTATTTTTATCGCCAACATTCAAACGGATTCGAGCGCTCGTCGCGTCCACACACATACACACACACACACATAGGTCATGATTCGAGAGAATCAATAATTATCGCTCCCGGAACGCGCATCGCACGGATCGGTGAACGCACGTATTCGCGTACAGAGAGACAGAAGAGAGAGCACCTCTCGCTCTCTCCTCTCTGTCTCTCGGCGGCGCCGACAGAACGCGCGGCTGCTTCGCTATCCGTGGCTGTCGGACGTGTTGTCCGAGTGAATTCGACTCTGTTCTCTCTTCCTTTCTCTCTCTTTTCCTTTCCGTCTCTCGCTCCGCTTCGCTGATCTAACCTCGCGAGAACGACGCGCTAATCGGCGACATTAGTGCCCGATAAGACCTCGATCTTGCTTCTCCGCTGAGCCGACATCGCACCTTTCATCTCGCTTTGCGCCTCTATACGAGCTCTCATGTGAGAGAGAAGGAGCCTCGCGTCAGTGCACTCGCTGCGACATCGATAAAACTGCGTCGACACACGAAGGACAGCCCTTTTACGAGGCAGGAATGCAGATGGAGATTCGCGACTGGACGGGGAACGCTGTCAAGCGCGTTCCTCGCATCATTCGCTAGTGATCGTGTTTCTGTCTACGGGTCTTGCAGTGTATTGCTGTTGTGTGTGTCTCTCTCTTTTTCTCCTTCTCTCTCTCTCTCTCTCTCTCTCTCTCTCTCTCTCTCTCTCTCTCTCTCTCTCTCTCTCTCTCTCTCTCTCTCTCTCTCTCTCTCGCTTTATTTTTCGTTCAAGCTGAGATTGAATGAACGATAGACGTGTTAGTGCGTTAAACTCACGCCAATTCGTTTTTTGAGAGACCACAGCGATCAACGACGATAACTACGACGGCGGCGTCATGACGCGTTTACGAGGACGTGCCTCGCTGATGGCCATCGTGACGATTAGCTTCGGCCTGCTGATCGTTATATACCACATTCTGAGTAACGAAATCGACGAGATGTCAGGGAAGATCGGCGGCCGACAAAGAGCGCAGGACGCGTATGCTCCGGGTGAGCTCACGGACAGTCCACAGAGCGCTGCCAGGAGGCAGCAGCTGGACGGGCAGTTCGCAGGAAATCTGAAGAACGGTAGGAATAAGCTGTTTAACGACTTTACTTATGACAAATCGTTTGCAGACGGCATTCCGCTATTCAAAGGCCACAAAATCGTCCACCTAGACCTAAAAGGCGCCCCGCCAAAGGTCAGCTACTACAACTACCTGTTTCCCCTGCTGCGAAAGCTGGGAGCCACTGGTGTAGTCATAGAATATGAGGATATGTTCCCCTTCGTGGATAGCATTGAAGATGTGCACGCTAATAATGCTTATTCCAAGAAGGATGTTGTACAGATTCAAAACATAGCCAAGAAGAATGAACTAATTGTTATACCTCTCATACAAACCTTTGGTCACATGGAGTTTGTCTTCAAGCTGGACAAGTACAAAGATTTTAGAGAGGTCCCGCATTATCCACAAGTGTTGTGTCCTACCTACAACAGAACACTTTTGTTGATATATGAGATGATCAACCAAATTGTATTAGCTCATCCAACATCCAAATACCTGCACATAGGTGCCGACGAGGTCTATCAGATAGGAGAGTGCTCAAGGTGCTTGGACGTCATGGCTAAAAAGCAATGGAGCAAGCAGCAACTATTCTTGGATCATGTGTCTACTGTGGTCAAGTACATCAAGGAGAAGTATCCGGAGTTGACTGTACTAATGTGGGACGACGAGTTCCGTAAGATATCACCGCAGGAGATCATTGACAAGGGCCTGCACTTGATGGTGGAACCCGTCATTTGGAAGTACACTACTGATCCTGGCACTACATTGACCGATCAGCTGTGGGAGAGCTACGCTGCAGTATGGAAACAAGTGTGGGTCGCAACAGCGTTCAAGGGCGCCATTTTTCCGGACAGATATTACACGGACATCTCGTATCATATGGAGAATCATCAGCGTTGGTTGGAGATTATTCAAAAGTATTCTAACCAGATCACATTCAAAGGTGTTATACTAACTGGCTGGCAACGGTACGATCACTTCAGCGTGCTCTGCGAGCTCCTCCCGGTCGGCTTACCATCGCTCGCGATCAACTTGGCCATACTACAGGCGTCGTCACCGGGTAACTTCCCCGTGGAGTTACCCCATCATCTATCCGAAGCGCTGCAGTGCGACGGGATCGTCTCATTGAGCATACCGGAGCCACAGTACGGTTGGACCAAGTGCAGCTTCCACGGGGCATCGATATACGCCGCTATGTTGCGTCTCTATACACTGACGCAAGAGATCCTAAAGATGGAGCAGGACAATACCTACAGGGGCTGGCTAAAGCCATACAATATCAAGTACTCGTTCGCGAACCCTCCTTACGTGGAGCGCGCGGTCGCCGACTTGGATAGGTATAAGATGGAGATCATGTACATCGAGAAGGATATGCGCACGGCCATGGAGGACATCTACGATAATTACACGATACAGGAATGGCTCGAGACGTACACCGCGCCGTTGAACGAGAAGCTCAGTCAGCTATGGCAGGCTAAGGAGAAACTGCTGGAGAAAAACACATGGCCCAGGAGACCTCTCACGAAGCCTGATTTATAGTAGGAGAGGACGTCGCTTTTTTCGCATAAGTAGACAAAGATGTCTGTCGTGTTCTTCATGGTATGACTAGAGAAACTGAGAATTATATTCCGACAACGCGAGGAAGGCAAGAGGACACGATATTCATAGCGATTAATCTTTAAAAAAACGAACGAACAAACAGAACAAATATAGCGTGGATAATCAGTGAAACGCAAGAGTTTCGCGAACTTGTAATTTTACATCTTAATAATCGTTGTACAGAATGTGATAATATGCAATTTGATAAGGAAGTAATCAAATTATACTAACTGCACCGTCCGTAAATTAGTGCAAGTTCTTTGTCTCGATGAGATCGATTGTATTATCGGTTGCACTGTCTGGTAGAGCAGATTATGATGTATATTCCCGACTCAGGTCACGTGGGATTCTTCGGGGAAAGTTTCGTCGGAGAGACATTTTCGTACTCACACGAGTGTCTGTATATATCGGTGACGATTCTTCCTTCCCGGCACGGAAAGTCTCAAATAGATAGTTTTATCCGCGTGATTTAGCCATTGTAGCCGTACAAGAGTAGATAGAGCGATATCTATTAATAAATACGCGTTAGGCGATATGATTTTGTTGCGACGTTAGAGCGAACCTGGTTTATCGGTGACTTACCGAAACCGCTATTATTCAAACGATGATTCTTATCGTCATTATTATTGCAACACATGGACGTGCACATATATATTTATGAATTATGCGAAGCCACTCGTGCGATACCACGCACGCACAGATTGCTCTTCCAATTGTCACATTACGTCTTCTAATCTTAAACACGATCGCTACGAGAAGCGCGATCTATAAAGAGAATGAGAGAGAGAGAGAGAGAGAGAGAGAGAGAGAGAGACAGAGAGCCAGGTTTTCTCGGTTCGTTCGTCGGAAAGACGCATGACAACAGCTTGAATTTAATTTAATTTGCGCATTAATCGTATTTATTCGTGCATATTAACGCGGTATCTGCGATTGTAATATAAGCGGAGAGAATCGTGCCATACAGCAAATCGTTGCGATATTATATAAGTTTCTGACAAATGTAATAGAAGTACGATATAGAGACAAAAGAATTTTGGTTGCTTATACATCGGTATATTCGGATCGGAGATTTTACACACACGAACGATGCGCCGTGAATAAAATTTTATTTCGAAAGTATTTTCGCGCGTTGAATGTTTATTGGAGAGTAACTCTTTGTATATCGAGGATGGAGAAAAAAATAGAAGACCAATGTGCATATTGCGGAGTTACGTGCAATTCATGTGATACATTTGGACTTTTATATCGAGTTCTTGGTTACGTTTCTCGACTCTTCGATGAACGTACCTTTTGTATAGCGTAATATTTAACGACTCTCCCCTCTTTAACAATTTGTAATCCATCTGTGAATTTGTAATATATATATATATATACACATTTTTTGCATTATTATTATTGTTTGCACTATTATTATTATTGTTGTTGTATAATCATTATCACAATATAAAAATATTTTTAATGTTATTATGTAAACCTACGTTGTAATTATTGCCGCATACTAGCGAGACGCGAGTAATAAATCTGTTTTTAAATCGCTAGAGACTCTTCGATCTCGTATTTATTTATGTTCATTGGCCCCGCGTTACACAGATATTTTTTCGTTATCGTTTTTTTTTTCCGTGTGCATGTGTATGTGCGTGTGTGTAATGTATAAATCACGGTGAAAACGATGCAACACACAAACGTACGTTCAAAGGCATTCACACTCAACACACGCAATTACACGCTGGACGCCCATATACGATATGTTCGCACAACATTACATTACGTGTACCGAGTCCATCCGGTACACTGAATAATATTCACCTATTAAAAAGCAGGATGATAAGATAACTTACTGTTTGTATACGCCACATGCGACCAACAGAAGCGGACAAGTCTCATTCATATTACCGAAAGTGAAAATGATTTCCAACTGCCGGCGGGAGGTCGGTAGATCGACCTACGGCGAGGTCGAGCGTTTCTCTTTCTCGGTTCAGCGAATGTTACATTCTCCTCAGAGGTCCTGATTTCTCCTCTCGATGAGATTCACGCGAGGAAAATCTACTCTGCGAGGATATGCGACAAGCTGCAGCATCACTGCAGCGTGCAGACCGCGGATTTCGAGGACGGGAAATGGGGATTGAAGGCGATCGGGTATTGCTTCTTATTGGGAATCCTCTTGACGACTTTGTGTATCGAGGTCATGTCGACCGTATCTCCGATCTCGGCGATGATGATGGGCTTGTGGAAATCCTGATCAGTCCTCGTCAATCGGACACCCAGGACTTGCGCCGCCAGACTCGCGACACACAACGATACCTGGGAATAATGCAACAAATAATTTGTAGCTTTCACCGTCGGACGAAGAAAGTCAGCGGTCTTCTCACTCGCGAGATCTCGACGAGAAAGAGGAGAGATTACCGATTCTCCGGTTCTCGCGGACATGTCGTGGTACGGAAACCCGTTTTCCGCGGCGAATCGATGCGACCTGTCGCGTTTGACTGTCCTTTGGTGCTCCATGTCGCACTTATTACCCACCAACGCTATCAGAGGCTCGTCGTAAGCGTCGATGAAATTCCTGATCTGACTGAGCCACTCCTCCAGGATCTCGAAGCTCGAACTGTTGGTGACGTCGTACACCAAAAGGATAATCTACTTCGACAGAAAAACGCAATCGCGCATTGGTAGACTCAAAAGTCAAAACTTACATTTTCGTATTATTTATAGTTGCAAATTGTCAAACTTCACTTCTTTTATATTTGTTTCAACGCGGATACATATATTTCCTTTGCGCTCATTCGATTTGAAGATCTGTCCCATATACGTGAGAGAAAAGTTCATAATCGTCTGTCGCGATTGTAGAAATATCGAAAAATTCGCTAAATGTGATTGTTTTCTCTTCAAGGCGTGGAAACGCAATATTTTTCATTGGTTCCTCATCCGCTATATGTAATTTTTACGCGGAGTTATCTACCGGCGTTATCAGTCGCCATAATTAGAAAAAGGCAAGATTACGCCAACGAGGTAATCGGATTGTCTAAGAGTGCTTTTCTGTCGAAACGAATATTACATTTTTTCGTTATCCATGTCTCTTCCAGCTGATAAGATACACGAGAGATAACATTTATTTATTTCAACGCGACTGTGCAACAGCCCTAGGTCCTTACATGCGCCCCGAAGATATATTTGTCCAGCATGTTGCCGTGTAGGGCGAGCCCGCCGACGTCCCACAGATGCAGGTTGACATTCTTGCAGCCGCCGATGGTTAAGTTCTTGAGGAAGAAGTCGATGCCCGCGGTGGGGACGTACTGGCGAGCGAAGTCGTTGTTGCAAAACTTCTGGACGATACTGGTCTAAGGAAGGATCTTTGAATTTCAATTATCAAGAATGACAGCCGCCGCGATGGGAGGATGACAGGTCATCACGCTAAGATTGTCAATCGTCGAAAAGAACATCGCGCGGCAATCGCCGAACGAATGAACGAGCAAGCGAGAAGATTGAAATTGCCGTAACAATGCGATTTCTCGGCGAAACTTTTTACTCATCGCGTGTTGCGAACGCCGGGTGTATCGACCCGCTCTCGACGTTCAATCGGGGTCTTTATTTATCCCCGCGTCGCGCTCACTCCAGTCCATTAATTGTCTAAGCCGCTAAGCACCAAGTCTGGCAGTGACATTACATTGCATCGACGTCGCAATTTTCCACTCGACGATGTAAGTGCCATATGCAACGTACGTTGCGTCCGACAATTACATCGTCACGTATAGACGATTTTAACAATGATAACATAATTTTCCTGTCGACCATTGGTGTTCATTAAGTAACACTTCGCGATGTGTGTTCCGCGTTTTTTCGAATGTCGTTTGCGAGTCGCCGAGAATTAGATTCCAAGTTCGACCTCAGACGACTCCCCTCGTCCGAGCGAATCGTGATGCGCGACGTTCGATATCGCGGCGATGTCGGACCTCGTCGTCGCGATTTCGCTTTGTCATTCGGCGAGTATCAAGGAAAATAGAGCTCGAAAGGTTAATAAATTCATGCTCGACCTACATACTCGGTTCCCTCGTTAATGCGACAGGCATCGATTAGAAAATTCGTGTCCGCCTGTTATTGACGTTATTGTCGGCGCACGATCGGTGCAAGACTTTCAAACGACCGCAACCGCAAAAACGAGACGCCGCGAATATTACGAAAGTTTTCGCGTTGGCAAATCGGAGTCGCTCGTCCGCGAAGGCCTCATCGATTCAAGCTCGCGCGTATTACATTCATCGTTAATCTACAGAACGTGTCGCATCGTCGGCTACGTTATCAGCGACTGTATTATCAAAAGAAGAGAAAAAAACAAAAATGTAATTACCAACGAGGTGAATTATCGTTAATCATGATTGCATAAGAGCGCGAAGAAACTTAAACATAGTGCTTATCGACCTACACGGTAATTACGAGATGAAAAAAATGAATAGAACAAAAAAGAGAGAGAGAGAGAGAGGCACTCTTATCGAAGAACACTCTTCCAACCAAAGCAAACAAGTTCACCTGTTGAGGAGCCCTCGCTATACACCGTTTTTGCCATGGCGATCGCCAAACAAATTTAAATGATCTCGGCCACGCTGTCGAGCGAGCAGGTGCGTCGTTTCGGAGAGCTCGCGAGGGCGGAAACGAACGGACATACGGACGAACGAACGAATGAACGACGGGATCAACCACCTCGACGCACGCTCTCGCGCCTCGCCGTAGCTTCGATCGCAAGGACGAAGCGAACGACACTGACTCTTCTCCAACTCACTTTGCCAGCGCCGGAATCACCCACGAGCACGATCTTCAGCCGTTTCTCGACCGAGTCCTCCTCGATGTCCGACATGAGGGCCGCGGCTGTTGGGAGTCATACGAGTGGGAGCACGCTCCGCCGACGACGACGACGACGACGACGACGACGACGAAGACGACGAGCGACCAGGAGGGTTGTCGGCCGACTATAGCGCGGCACATAACACGGTGGCTCGCGTGCAGCCGTACAGCCAGGTCCGAATCGACCGACGGTAGCCAGTGCGGCGTCGTGGTCTGCTACTCGCGGACATGAATAAATTAACGAATAATCGATAGCTCCCCCGCAAAGCACCGCCGACGCCGTCACCGTCAGCGTCAGCGTGCACGTCTCCGGCGAGTGTCAATCCTGAATGCGGACCGTACTTCGGCGAGGTCCGCACCGACAGCGTGTTTCGTGACGACGTGACGACGAGGACGACGCGCCTGCGTCTGACGGACGGCTTCGTTCGAGAGGAAAAAAAGAAAGAGAGAGAGAGAGAGAGAGAGAGAGAGAGAGAGAGAGAGAGAGAGAGAGAGAGAGAGAGAGAGAGAGAGAGAGAGAGAGAGAGAGAGAGAGAGAGAGAGAGAGAGAGAGAGAGAGAGAGAGAGAGAGAGAGAGAGAGAGAGGTGGAGAGGAACGGTCTTGCGTTCTTCACGAGAGTTCCTTCTTCTCGGGAAGAGTTTCGGAAGCTTATCGTCCGCGAGAGATTGAGAACGATGTCCTCCTTATTGGCTCGCGGTATGAATTATTAGAAATTCTTTCCTTTTTTTTATTATTGTACAATGCGAGAGGCTCGATATGTCGTCTTCTATTCGCCACGTCGCCGAGGGTTCTTTGCGTTAGTACTGTCGCAGAGAAAACATGGGGGCGCTTCTCTGTCTCTCTTAGGCATATATCGGCGCGTCGACGCGCCTCTCAGTTGAAGATCAGGTCCTTGTAGTTTTGCAGGAGATAGTAATTCGACACTCTGCAGCAAGTGGTTGTCCTGACGACCGTCAGTCTGTCGGCCCGCTCAAAGTTTGCCTTCACGATCTCGTAATATCTGCCGTCGCTGAAACGAAGAGATAAAATCTTATGTGTATACCGTTCGCTCTTGTTCCGTACGATGAATTGTTCACTTTAGTCTTACCTTAAGCTCAAGCATCGCAGCTTGATGCACTTCACGCGCAAGATGTCTATGGCTTTCTGACTCTTGTCCGAGAATCGCAAGTTCTCCGGGTCCCATCGCAGTTCTAAACGCTCTAGATCAGGACAATTGTTGGCGATGCCGTCCATCAACTGGTCCACGTGGATGTTGACGCCCAGCCTCTCTTGAGTGCCCATCACGAGTATCCTGAACACACATCATAGGACTCTTTAAGTATTTTCGTACGAGATAACACGAATATTGACTTACATCTATATCAATGAAAAGGAGATTTCCACATAAATTCGTTATAATGACGAATGAAGAACTCGATTGAACATACTTTTCAAGTTTTCTCAGACGTACGTCGTTTAATTGTCATTACCTGTAACTAATGTAGCGTTCAACTAGCATTTACTGTAATTATCTCTCGTAAGACTTTCAAATCACGCTCAGTTCGCATGCCTTTGCTAAATTAGTCGCGCAAATACTCACTTCGCGTTGGTGAGAATCGGCAGCACGCTTTGCCAAAGTTGGTCCGTGATGTGCGGCATGCCTGACAACGCGAGGCCGTATAACTGATGGCCATGCCTCGACAAGAACTTGTACAACGCGTCGTCGCTCAGGTTATCCGAACTGTCCAGGTCCAACGCTATCAGGTTACGCGGATTGCCGACCTCGGTCCAGGCTTTCAGAACGCTGTCGTTAAAGCCGTTCAATTGACCAGCGCTGAGAAAACGAAGCCCGGGAATCCTGGTCAGCATGTCGATCAGGCAATCGGTCGACAGGTCAGTAGCGGTAACGTCCAGTTCTTGAACGCTGGACTTTTCCCACTCGACCTGCATCACGTAATCGCTCTGCAGATCTGGAATGTCGCATGGAGTTGGTCGAGGCAAACGTGAGTATCAATCCATCAAACATGATGGAAACTGACGGAAAGAGATCTTTCCGGAGATAGCGAGCGTCTCCGTGACGAGCGAATCGGAAAAAGCGAATCGAGACGATATGAGAAACAAAATTTAGAAGATTTTTATCTCGAGGAAATAACTTCATCGACAATGCCTCACTTGTTCCTTGCATCAGCAGGCACCTCAGCCTCCTACTTCGCTGAAACAGCGTCTTCATGGTGGAGCCGGTGACTTTAGAGCAAAAGTTCACCGCCAAGCACTCAAGTTGGATACAATTGGAGGAGAAGGCGTCGATGTGAGAGTCGTCCACGAAGTTGATTCCGTATAGATTGATCACCCTCAGGTTCGGCGTTGCCGACTTGAGCCTGTGCACGTTTATCACCTCGTAAATCTCTTCTTCCTCCTCCTCGACTTTCTCGTAGGTTCCTGGAAGAAATTGCAGGCCTCGCGTGACAAGTTGAAGAAGTAACGCACGAGCCCCAAGGTTCAACGTTCTCCAGCGTCACTAACCGATTAGATGAAGGATCTCGAGGCCGTTGATGAAGTTGTAAATCTTCCTCATGAAACCCTCCATGAAGATCACCTCGGACAGACAAATGCACATGTACTTGAGCTTCGCGGGAAACGTCTGCATCTCCGAGAAGTCGTGCAGCTGCATGGCGGTGGAGAAGTCCAACAGCATATGCGTCAGATTTGGGCACTTGTTGGCTAGCTCATGAAGGACCGTATGCGTGATCAGTTCGATCGGCAACTCGATGTACCTCAACGACGGCCCGAAGCGTATGCTGCGCAAAGCAGCGTCGTCATTATCTCGCAATCGCATGTTCGTAACCATCAATCAACGAGCGAGGAGAAAGGTAAAAGCAAAGGAAGAGGGATAAAGCCAAAACTTTAGTCGGTTTCTCTGTTAATTTCAGCAGCGAATGACAGAGCTGAAAGCTGTTGCGTGTCGTTCGACTTTTTTTGCTTTGCAGTTCAAGCCCGATTGAATCGCATGAAAAATCGGTTGTACGGCCAATAGAGAAGTCGCATGAAAGTCGCGAAGTGATAGATAGAGGACTCTCGGACTACACTTGTTCGCTGCATCTTTGATAATTCAACAATCGATCAAGCTGTTGTATCAATCAGCTAGGGTCGACGCGGCCAGTCAATACAAGCGCGGAAGCAAAAATCAATTCTCCTTCCATCGACATACAACTTGTCGGGAAGTGAGGCAAAGTGATGGACGGCGCGGGGGTCGCGTCGTGATCCTGTGACGGCGTTACCTGATTAACTGCAGCAAGCTCTCCAGAGAACCCACGTGAAGCCCGCTTATTTCCGGCCTCAGCGACACGTGCTTCCAGAGACGCGTGTCGTACGCGATTTGCCGCCAGCGTTTGCAAACACGAGCGACCCGACATATCTCGCGATGCGACAGGTAACTGAAGATGTTCAGCAGCACCTTGTCCGGCAGCTTCTCGATCGTCTGCGGGGCAAAGATCACACGGCAGCGTCAGTCGCTGTCGCCAAAAAGGCTCTCCTGCTCCGCTGGAGCACCAGACCGGACCGCTCTTTGTCGCGTTTTCTTTTTCCGGAATTTTCGGAAATTTCAACCGGGTAACCACGCGCTGTTCGCCTCGACGGATGACCTCGCGTCCGTCCAACGACGACGCCGACTCAGAACCCTGTGACGTAATTAGTCGAGGCGACAGCCGTCGAGCTGTCGCCTCGACGGCTGTCAGATCGAGGTGCCATATTCGTCGCTCGTCGCGCGACATCGGTCTTCGCTCCGTCAGGACAAACGGATATCGAGAAATTGAATTTACGAGTTAGCCAGAGACGCACCGCGCGCGATTTTCCGTTTATAGATATCGGCAGTCGAAGGCCGCGCATCGAATCTCGAACGGCGAACGTCTCGGCCCACGACGGATCGCAGCGCGAGAAATAGATCGGGCCGCGGGGATCGCGTTACGTCAGGATGGGAAATTAATGAACGGTAACTTACGGTTCCCGCGAAACGACTCTTAACCACGCCACCCTCGGAAACGTACATCTGCGACGTTTCCAGGGCGATCTGGCCCCAAACGTCGACACCGCCGAGATCCATGGCGCTGCCTCGTTCGACGTTCGATCAAGATCGAGAGGACTGACCGACCGTTTTCTGCCTTTCTCGCTTTCGCGATCACGCGAATTTACACGGAGCTTTCTTATCTTCTCTTTATCTCTCTCGCTATCTTCCTCCCTCTCTCTCTCTCTTTGCTCACAGATGCGTTTTTATTCCGGATCGCCCGATCTTCCGCTCCTCGTAGCTACTTCAGTATGAGATCACTTTCATTTTCGCCGTCTGATCAAAGGTCACTGTACCACGTCGCGATTCGTCGTGGCATGACTCGCGCGAGTAAAATCGCTGGAGATGCGAATTGTTCGCTTATTTTCCTCCTTCTTTTTCGCCTCCTTCTCTCCTGACCCGCGCGCCACGGCTTTGTTGTCCGACGTGCACGTACGAATTCGGCGTGGGCGGAAATGAGGAAATTACTATTTGTGATTACACGCGGTTTGTTAGAGTCGCGACGCGAGGCGGAATTCGGGGAAGCTCAAACTACAAGTCTTCGGCGCTTTTAATCGGATCGCGCTTGCGCGTCGCCCTAAATATACGACTTGGAAGGCTTGCCTGCACTTTATTTTAAACCCCCGTCGCGTCTGCATGAACGGCCGGGAGAGAGCCGCGGGCTTTTACATTTTTCATAATATTCACTTCCTGTCCGGCGAAAATCGACACGCCCACGTCTGTCAGATCGTCGCGCGGAATTTCGCGCCTGAAATGTGTTTGTTCGTCAACGAGGAGCGAGCGCATTTCCGCGATTTCGCCGATGCATTTTTTATCGATTCGCCTTTAATTTTTGCAGTCGAAAGGCTTCATTTGACGTGTCGTCTCGTCTCGACACATTCGGAAGGCTGTCAATTATTAGGAGACGCACGATGTCTCTTTCTCAGGCGCGCTCGGACACGTACGCGCTTTCGCGTACCGCTCGTTCAGTGCGTAAAATTCACGCGACGCAAGCATTTTAACGTTAATCAGGAACGCGAGAAAAATTCGAGAGACGTCGAGGAACACGTTCACCGATGGGAAACACTTTCTACGGGACCAGATGCGGGATTTGCGCCCGTTTTAGCCGAATACACGCGGCTAATATCGCGCGGATTCAACAGCTTCGCGCTAAATCCGCCGCGTCTTTCGCATACTTTTGCCATAATAATTGGCACGCTTTCAATGCGATACATCTAATGAGCTGACAGCAACAGGTTACACTTGCATCGCGTAATTAAAGTGTGCAAGT